CCCCCAACCGGTCCCGCGCCCCCCCCCCCCCCCCCGCCGCCGCCCCCCCCCCGGGGTGGTTCCCCCCCCCCCCCCCCCCCCGCCGCAAAGGGGCCGGGTCTCTAGGGGCCTCCCCGGGCATCGCCCCGCTCTGTACCGCCGTGGGCGCCGGGCACGAACCGGAGCCGGGAAAGGGCCGTCCGCTATGCCCCAGCACTGCTGCCTCCAAAGCAGGAGTCGCTGCTCCTTACTTTAAAAAAAAATTAAAAAAAAATAAAGGTGAAAAAAAGCAAAGAAGAAAAAGAGAGAATAACGAGAGCATAACCTGAAAGAAGAGAGCAAGCTTTGGGCTATCAGAGTGCTATTTGCTGTTTGTGCCTTGTTTTAAATTAAAAACACCAGCATGCACAAAATTGTATTAAGGTGATGATTGTATTGAAGCAATCTCCTCTGTCTGCCCAATACACCAAGGGTTTGAAGAGTTTCCATCGAGGAGCACCGCCCTTGTCATAGGGGAAAACAGGCTGATGTGATGTGGAATAACTCCATTCCACCCCACACATGGGGCGTGCTGAGTCAAGAGCCCTCTGCACACACACGCTCAGCTTCCTGCTTTTTCTTTCCTTTATTTTATTTATTTATTTATTTTTGGAATTGTGCAGCGTCTTTAGCTAAAATTTGGCACGGATATAGATATGTAAATAGCAGCGTGAAGAGGAAGTCCCGATATCCTCGCAAAGGATAAGCTGGTTGTGGCACTTGGGTGCATTTCGAATGCATTTCCACTTTCTCCCCATTTTCTCAAATAACTTTTCAGTGGAAGAGAAATTGGAGCTGCAGATTCTGTGTGATGTGATTTGAGTTTCTTCCCGACCCATGCTAAGTTGGAAGCAAATTGTTTTTGATACTGATCTGGGAGTTGGGGGAGAGAAGAGAGAGGGAAGGAAGGAAGGAGGGTTGAGACAATCTGACATAAATGAGGCTGCTATCCTCATTCTCTTTGAATCTTTAAATGTTGCTGCTTGAGAAAAAGGAGAGAGAGAGAGAGAAAGAATAAACACGGGGTGCGGATGTGATCAGCTTCGTTAGCCGCTCCACCTTGTGAAAAGACACAGAAGCACAGGATCCAACCAGATCATATTTACATACATATTAATAAAGCTCCCGAGGTGGCAGTTCAGCCTTCACACACAGTGCAAGGATCTCTGCGAGTTCTCATTTTAGACCCATAAAAAAAAAGATAAAAAGAGGTCTTTTGGGCTTCCCTGAATATTTTTCTGCAATGGTTTTATATCATTTCTGAAAATTACATAGTTAAGTGGCATCAAATTTCTGGGTGATACAATAACTCAAAATGTGTAATTCTTTTTTTGTATCAAATCGCTTTGCAGCCATAAACAGAGCTTCAGAACCTCAATCAGAGCAATGATTTGGTGTTTTTTTTTTTCATTTATGGCAAACAGTAAAATTGTTCTCGTTACCTATTCAAATATATATAACTTGGGACGTTTATTCACTTGATTTTCTTTTCCATGACAATGGTATATTTTAGGGTGGCACAAAATGCAGGCTTAAGAGGATGGTGCACTATTCCCTGCCCCTTTCCTGACACTTTATGGAAAGCAGCAGAACAGGTGCAGATTGTGCTGTGCTTTCAAGACATGCATTGCCCTCTCGTTTTTGGTGTCTGTCACTCACTGATGTTCCCAGGAGTGAATTTCAGAAATGAGGTTTCCTCAGCATTTCCATTCTGAGCCTTCCCACAAGTGCCCTGCCAGGCCGGTGCTCTGGGTTGCTCTGTTTGTTGTTTTGATTCCTACATTTTTCCTCCCTCATTTTCCAGCCCTTCCCAAGTGCTAACCATGCTGAGAGCTGTCCAAAGGTTGGAGCCCAGTTTTTCTCTCCAACATTGTTTGTTTCAGTTTGTTTTGTTTTTCAGTCAAAACAGGCAAAAGCAAAAATAAGAACCACAGAGCCAGCAACAGAAGAAAAACAATGCTTTTTAAAATTATTTTTAATAAGATATTCTTATAAAATGCAGGATTGGGTCCCCTTTTCTCTCTTCAGTTTACAGGTACATCCCTGCTTCTTCCCACAGTCACAGGTGGAGGGGAGTGCACCTCACCAGCACCCAGAGCACAAACTGACAGCACCCCATCTGCTGAGAATGCCAGTAAGGTGCTGCCTGGACATC